ACTGATGGAGCGTTTCAATGCAGACAAGCGCATCTTCTGTTTCATCTTGTCAACGCGCAGCGGTGGGGTGGGAGTGAACCTGACTGGTGCTGACACTGTGGTGTTCTATGACAGTGACTGGAACCCCACCATGGATGCTCAGGCCCAAGATCGTTGCCACCGTATCGGGCAGACACGGGATGTTCACATCTACAGGTTAACTAAGCTTTCTACTCTATGTATAACAGAACATTGGTTATGATGATGATGATGATGATGTTATCTAGTCTGGTAACAAAAGGTTCAGAAACTAAATTGAAACAAGCTTGGAGAACAAACCACTGCCAAAATCTAAAACCTGAGCTACAAGTATTTTCTATTATTTCAGAGCATCGGTTAGTCTAATTTAGCCATGTTTACACTGAGTAAGTTATTCTCCAGGGTTTCAGTCTGCACACTTGGCAAATGAGGGTGGAGAAGAGGTACAAAGCATGGGATCTAATTGGTTATGTGCCAAATGGTGGGGAAATCAGAAGATTCAGGCAGTTCAAATGAGTACAGGTAGTCCTTGACTTACATCAATTCATTTAGTGACCGTTCGAAGTTACAACGACCCTGAAAAATGCAACTTTTCCTGTGCACTGCTTGGAGAGTCCAAGCATGGGTTAAATTAGTCTGATTGCCCAAGGAGTGAGTTCAAAATCTTTGGCCATGCCTCCTGCTCCTCGTTAAGGCCAGATTTTTAACTCGGTCTGCCCATCAGGACTAATTTAAGTCAGCTCCAGCTGTTTTTCTAATATAATTCGGCTTGGACTCTCCAATTTAGCACCACTTTTATTTATTTTTATTTTTTCCTTCTTTTGGTTTACTTCCCTTTTGAGGTTTTGGATTTTGCTGTTATTTTCCTTCGTGCTTCACGATAGTCAAGAGGTGAGAGAGGGAGAGGAGTGAGCTAGCGAGGGGGGTGCTTGCCTCCGTGCCTTAACAGCGGAGGCTTGACTTGCTGGGGCTCTCTGCGGTGTCTCGTACCGCAAACAGCTTGCCCGGCTTGAAACATTTAAAAGGACCGGCTCGGAGGCTTTTTTTTCCCCCCTGCATTCTCAGTGTCAGCGTTCCAAATATCCAAAATTGCATCAGAGTCCAAGGCATAGCTTTCCTCAAACTTCCAATTTATTAAGAGAGACATGTTGGCACATCTGTGGGAAACCCGAATCTGAAAGCTTCCTGCTTTCCCCCACCCAGTTGAAAGTTCAAGATCTTGTCCCCCACCCACAAGTCCATCACATGGTCCAATCTTCCACTGCCACGCTGGCATTTCCACCCATCTAGTTCCGGTCAGGTGCAGAGACAAAGAATGACCTTGGGCTTCTAGAAAGGAATGTTTTATTTAGACAACAACATTCTACTCCTTACTATTCCCTCTCCCAATTCCCCACTAATGAAACAGCATAGTGAAATAGAGAGAGTGGCAGGCCAAAGATCCTAAAAGTAATATGACTGCAGGCCTGACAGGCGGCCTCTCCTCAGAAGAAAAACATTTCCTGAAAAGAGAATAACATAAAATTTAACATACCAAAATTAACTACCTCTTCCCCCGCCCCTCTCTGGGGGACCCCTTGGCTTCTCGGGAAACTTCTCATGGAATTGTTTTACTAACTTCTCCACTTTTAGGTTCCAGTTTTTCACCCAAGTAGCTTCGGACAAAGGGTAACCCTTCCAATGCACTAAATAATGTAAGCAACCCATCTCATAGCGTGTTTCCCCCTCTATCACTACAGAAAGAGGGAAAGCTTGGGTGGATGGTCTTATGCTGGACCCAATTACTGGTTTCAACAAGCTACAATGAAATACTGGGTAAATCTTCCCTAGACATCTGGGTAGACTGAGTTGAAC